CTGTATTTTTATTTCCCAATTTTGACTGGAAAAGAATGCAGCTGCAAATAAATATTTTCTTTTTACAATTTCTTTAATAAATGAATCATTGCAACCATCTCAAGCACATGGTAAAAATCATACAGTTCAGCGGTCACCTGTGATTTTAAGCACTTTCAATACTTCATAGTGATTTCTGTTATGAGTTTAGGGTGCTTTAAAAATTTAGAGACCAATGGTTTTGTCACATCTCTGAAATTGTGGATTAAGCCAAACAAAGGAAACTGAGAGAAGACACTGACGATTGTCAGCACACTTAATGTCTTGATACTTTTCTGCATTTAATTTGTTGCTGATTTGTCCACTGTGTAAGTTCTGGAGAAAACTGAATCTTCTAACAGGCTCTGTATTTACCAAGTATGAGTATTATTCTATTATCATATGGATCACTGACCAATGTCTGGTGTTCGTGATTTTCTAGTTGCGTTGCTCCAGAACATGCAGGTTTATGACTTAGTATGTGATCTCCACGAGCTGGAAAGAGTCAAAACATATGGTAGATCAGATGTTAGGCTTGTGGAGAATAAAAAATTAAAGTGTCTCAGAGCAGTTGAGAGATTCCTTTGCTATATATTTTATGTGATTTGTATGTGTGTTGAGGGAGATGTCACCTAGGGAAGGGAATTGAACAAAAAATAGCTTTAAAAAATGAACTGTTTGTATTATCGTTTTAAACTTTAAAGTCTGGTCAGCTAAAAGCAGATGTTGTGAACTAAGATGGAAACTTGCCTGAGGCCAGAATCGAAGAAGGCATTCTCTAATAGTAAGAAGTAAAAATGCTTTCTGGTTTCAGACTTTATTAAAAGCACAAAATGAATGCTTATTGTATGCTTATAAGCACAAACATTTCCCCACTTTTATTCAAATTACTGAATAATATTGGTGGCTTCAGAATTTAATTTCAGACAATGGGTTCATTAGCAATCCTGATTGTATTCTAAGCTCTTTACCATAAAATCTTTTGTTATTCTGTGCTGGCCAAGATCCTGTCATGTTGGAAGTAGGAATGAAGTGCTTCTTACCCTTGGCTGTCTGCCCAGTAATCAGATGGGGAGGTGGATTAAAGCATCTAAACATGTGGTGTACATTTTGGAATATAGTAATATGACACAGTTCTGATGTGAGCCTTTTAGGGTAAGAATAATAAAGGAAAGATCTCATATACACAGAATTGTAAAAATGAGCATAACCTTTACTGCATGCTTTTAATTGACCTGAGCTTGCACAGTCTGAGATAATTCATTTACATTATGTAAACATACAATGGCTAAGAACTTGAAATGGAAAGTTAAAAATTAATCAATATTTTCAAGAAATAAAAACAAAGGTGATTAAATAAAAATTATTTGTGTTAAAATCGATCAATATTTGAGAAAATCTTCTGTCTCCTTTTCATCTATTTATGTATGAGGAAATACGTATTTACAGTAGCTGCCTCTACAGTATTTGTTGAATGGCATGAAGCTTTGAACCAGCTTAAAATTTAGTCTTTCTGAGACAGTTCTGCAATTTATTTTAAATGTACTCGTTCAAAAGCTATGCTCTAATGGCAAGTCCAAAATTATAAATTGCAGAATTTCTGTGGAAAAAAAATAGCAACCTACTTCTGCATTTTACAAATACTTCATGCAATATTGTTTCAGTTCATAGAAACTGTTTGAGGCAGCTTTGTTGCTCTAGTTCAGCAGCAGCATGAGAAAAATACGTATGAATTATTTTCAGAAATCCACTAGAAAATATTCTAAGCATCAGCATTTTCAGTCAATAGATCAATAGGTATTTCTTCCTGTAGGAATCCTTTCGATAGCAGAGTCATATGGCAGAAGAATCAACTGCCTTTTCTAATTTATACCATTATAAAAGCAAAGACGTTTCAACGGACGGAGTAATTCCTGGTAAATCTATGCTTGGACAAGCTCTAATTCTGGCACCACATTCCTTTTTTACCGTTATAAGGAGTATTTAGCACCTTCCTTTCCATTGGTTTCAGGATTTGTGAGCGTGGGCGGTTTGTCAGGTGTTAACGGCCGGGCCGCGCCTCGGAAGAAAGGCAGCCGCTCCGGAGCGGGCTCGGCGCCCTCCATTTCGTGCCAGCGGGAGCCCACAAACCCCGCCGCGGTGACGGACAGCCGGAGCCGGCCGGCTCCTGCAAACTCTGGAGGGCGGCCCTCCCCTGGGCGGTGCTAGGAAAGGACTGGGCGGCAATCGTCCCTTCGCGTTCGCTCGGCCGAAGGGCATTAACCGCCGGGCGCTGGCGGGGCGCCTTGGCACCCCCTCCGTTGCCGCCATTTTGCGCGGTGGTGGCGGGAGGCGCTGTTGGTAGGTGAGAGCGTCTCCGTCAGATTCTCCTTCCCCAGTTGAAGGAGGAGGGCGGGATAGGGAGCGCTGCCTGTGAGGGGGGGGCTTAGGGGCTCGCAGGAACGGAGAAAGGGCGCTGTGCGGTGCGGATGCCCTCTGCACCTCAGGGCAGCTGGCCCACAGCTGGGAGCGAGCAGTTGCATTTTGTTTGGGTCGGCAGCGCTGAAGGTTGCGACCTTCACTTTGGGCCCCCTGGAGAGAGCATTGAGGTGAAATACAGAGGTCGGAGGAAGGATTTGTTTTCAGGAAGGAAGAGAAAAGCAGAGGGGCATCAAAACTGAACAAACTGCCTTGTAGCCTATAGTAAGTTTATAGTAAGCCGTTTCTTAAAGCAGATACGAGAGGTCTTTGCTTATAGGAGTTGGCAAACATCTCTTTGTCAGTGTGAATCAATGGTTTGTGCTGCTCCTGCAGACACCTACTCATGTCGCTCATTCTGCCATCTTGAATGTGCATTTTCCCTGTGCTATCAGCACTGAGACTATGGAAAAGGCCCTTTGATTCCTGTCCATCTTGGAGGTATGTTTTGCCTGCACTCCTCCTGCCCCCCCCCCCCCTTTTTTTTTCTTTTAAAGGAAGAAAAAAAGTCTGAGAGACTTCACTGTTTCTTGGCTGGGGTTTTTGAGGGGGGTGTCCCAGCTGACAACCAGCAAGCAGATGGGTGTCTGCAGGAGTGCATAAAGGAGAAATGCCAAGGTTTTCCAGCCTCTTAGAATGACTGACATCTATAATTTTTATTTACGTTATAAAGCAATTGGAATTCATAGACCCAGTCAAAGAATAAATGACAAAGAATAAATGATGTATAGGGAGCGGGGACCTGAAGGGCCTGGGGGATTAAATATTGTGTATAGCAAAGACTGCTCAAGGATGGGAATCGTAAATCCAAATTATTTAAATGGAAGTTGCATAATCATAGATAGATAATTCCACACCTGAGGTATGGAAAACCATTTCATACTGGTGTGCAGTGCTTGCAGCTCCTTGGAGCTGATGGAGTGGTGGTTATTCAGTTGGATAAGCACTTAATGCAGATAATTACTACTTGAATAGCAGCAACTTGATAGTACTCCTGACAGATGCTTTCTGCTGCCACTACTAATACCCAAACCTGAGAACTCCTGCTTTAGATTACTGACATGTAAAGCATGCAAAAGCATGGTGGCAAAATTAGCCAGCTTTGTTAGATTTATTAGTGTGATTTATAGATTCTAGATTTATTAGTGTGAAGCAAAAAGCGCCAATTCCTGGCAGTAGGAGAGTGGCAGAAATTGGCAGAAGTGGTGTTGCAGACTTACTCTGAAAAGGAGTGTAAAAGGGGCATTGACAGGTTTCTTGTTTGAAGTTCTAAAACCTATCCTCTTCACTGTGTTCACAGACAGCTTTGACTACATGCTCTATATTCTGACGGTATTGTGAAATGTTTTCTATTTCAAATTTGAAACATGTCTCTGGAATATTTGAAGTTTTATGGCTTCTGTGGAAAAAAAATATTTTTAAAATTTTTGATTCACAGCTGACAGTGTAGAGTAATAAAGTAAACCTGAATCGTATTTGCAAAGCACTCTTAAAGGTGATTTTTTTTTTTATCTGTAACTAATGAGATGCTGGAGTACAAAAGAAGTGTCACCTTTGGTTTATCTTTGTAGGTAAAGAAGATAGCTTTACTTTGTTATTTTATCACCAGATTTGGCCTTTATTGAATTTTATAAACTGTGTTGAAGTTGATTTGGTATTTTACTATTTGTTTCAGTAAATCTAAGATTTTTGACTCAAAATCCTTTCTGTGGTGTTCTTTTAGTGAGATCTTTGCATTTTAAAGTTGTCCTTAAGCAAAATTAAGAGCTGTGAAACTTCTCAACACAAACACATAAAGAAAACATGTCTAATGCCTAGGGTTGGTGCTAAATGAAAAACACTTAAATTAACTGGAGTATTTTTAGAACTGGTGTATATGATAAATAATTTAGAAATAATCTCTGGTCCTGATGTTTCAGAACAAACCTGTTAACAACGTTAAGGAGTTGGACCCATACTCCACTTGTCCAGGTAAGCAATTTGCATGTAGGTTAAAAAAAAAAAATCTGGTTTACTTGTAAATTAAAATAATTGTTTACGAAATTAAATTATTCTATTATCTACCCAACATTAACAGAATCTGATCGTAAGACAGATCATGTTTTTCCAGTGAACAGAAACAATCTGAGGAAAAAACATATAGTCTGCAGTTGTATAAAATAATCTTAGCATTATTCTTATAAATTAAATAATTTAACATAAACTTTATCTGGATCTTCACTCTTACCCACTTTTTCCCTCCTGAAATATCATGATGATGTAAAGGTGGTTTAGAGTGCTGTCCTACAGGATTTTTTGGTCATAAGTAATATGAACCATATTTTATAAGGAGAGAGAATCTCTTTTTGAAGAAGAATTAAGGATTTAGGCAAGAGGTCTAAAAGAAAAAAAATACAGAAATTAAGTATTGGCACTTATAACTAATAAGCTTTCTATTGCTTACACAGGTTTAATTCTAGTAATTTCAGTTTCACAGTTCCTTGTTCTGCTTTTGCAAATTAAGAGACTTCACATTTGATCTAAAAATGTTCAACTCTGCAGATATGATCTTTTCATTGGATAATTTGTTTTATGAAAGACCAGATACAAGACAAAGGTAAATCTTTATTGTTAAATATATATAATTGTTTTCCAAGTTTTTCCACACTCTGGATAATTTTACAGCAGAATGTTTTTTTTATAACTCCCTTTTCTGTCTATCAATAGAATTGTGGGGCTAGAAATTTCCAGGTTCATAACCCATATTTTGAAATGTTTTTCGAAGCACACTGAAGTTTCAATGATGCAGGTGTATCATAGGCCTATAAGAAATATGGGTTAGCAGAAGTTCTGCCTCTTAAATTTTGTGTGTTTAAAAATCACACAAATTGAAGCATAAGAATATTTTTTAGCAGGGGAAACTGTAGGTTGTTTATGATTAGTGGATTTGAGCTAGATATTGTGGAGGGTGCTTAATAAATGTTTTTACCTTACATTTGTGTGTTAAAAATAGGCATCTAGAAAATGAAGAGCCTAAGATTTGTTGTATTGCACCTGCTCCAGCTATTGCTGAAATTCCAGCTGCAGAGGAGTTGCAGAGAGAACTGGAAAAAAACACTGCAAACACTCATATGGGTAAAATATCATAGAATAGAATCGTAGAATCATTTAGGTTGGAAAAGACCTTTAAGGTCATTGAGTCCAACCATAAACTTAACACTAAACTGTAATACTTGTCATTAATTTTGAATGGCTTAACAAATAATTAGTGTGACAGATACTTCCTCCTCTCTCTTTTAATGGTGTGAAATATGAAACATTCTAGGTATGCCAATATAGACAAAGAATGTATTTTAGTTGACAGTGATGGTCTTACATATATATTTGGAGTACTAGCAGTCCTCTTTGGGCACATACAGGCTACAAGTTTACTGTGCAGAAGTGGGCAAGGTAAGTATGATCAAAATTTCAGCTATTCCACATTGTTCCATGAACCATCATAACACAGTAGGAAGCAGCTGTAGGAGCATAATGCAACACATGGATCTGATGGCCTGTCTCCAACCCAAGGAACTGAGAATTTATAGGAACCTAACTTTCTTCTTCCCTTTTGGGGCTTTATTCAAATTGCTATTCAGGAGGCCAAAAGTGAATCTTGCCCTTGATTGCTGCTAAGTGGAGTATTCCTTCCATCTAGACATTCAGGATCATCTTAAGGAAACTTATTTTAAAGAATTCAGCTGCTTTATCTTTGTCAGCTAGATTTCTGCATTTCTTAGCTGCTGTGCTGATTTACAATACTCTCTATTTAGGAATTACATTGTTAAGACAAGGGTTGTTTTCTACTTTACGCAAGAACAGTTCCATTAAGAACTACTCGTTCAAATAAGCTTTCTGGTGTTTGTAGAATTAGAACTGTTGGGGTTATGTCACAAACAGGCCATTGTAATTTTATGTTTCTAGATGGATAACACTGAAATTAATAGACTGTGGAATAGAGCTGTTCTGTAATACTGTTGCATTCAATTGCTTACTTCTGCTCTTGCCTTGCTTTTGCTGACAGCAGTGCTTGCATGGTCAGCCAGATCAGAACACCAATCCTACTGAGAACTAACCCTACAAAATGTGATAATTAACCAAGATGACTATGAAACCAGCCTGTCACCAACATCATTATGAATTTTGACTGTTGAGATTGCAGGGTTTTATCTCACAGCTGTTTGTACTAGGAACTTCAAGCTTAGCCATTGTGTCATCTTTTTAAAAAGACCATCTTTATTCTGGGATAGGGTGAAGAGTTTGTACCTTACAAACTGCTTTGTAATTCTGAGGAATAGTTTTGCTCCTTTACTTCATATAGGAAACATGAAAAATGACCCTATTTCTATAACTTTTTAACTGACAACAGATGCATTGCATTCATCAGCAGGAGTCGTAAAATATGCACTGAAGTTCTTGCAGTAAGATAGAAATATCACTTTGTATAACATATGTGAATTTGGCTTATTCTGTGTGGAAGATATTTAATAAAATGACTGTGAATAGGAATATTAATATTAATAGAAATAAAAATGTATTGGTTTTGTGGGAGGGAAAAAGCACCAGAAGTTTATACAACAATGTAAGAGTAACATGGAGGAGGGAAATGATAAATCACCAGCACCTGTTCATTTTGGCATAGCCTCTGAAAAAGAAGTGCTTCAATTAAGTGTAGGAGAAAGAGAGAAAATTAGTTTTCGGCATATAAGTCTGAAAATGGTTTCATTGTTTCTCTCTCTGACCAAGATAAATCTGAAACAGGAGCAGAGGTTTCTCAGCAACCTGGTGCAAATTTTTCACAAAATAAAATATTAAGTAATTTTCCAGAAAACAGTGATGATGAAAGTGTTCATTCAACATTAAGAAAAAGGTATGTGTCTAGTCAATTCTGATAATTTATCAACTGTCAGAATCATATTATTTTAGATACATTTGTTAAACACGGAGTTTTGGATCCTTCAATTGAAGGTACCTTAACAGGGCTCCAGACACTAATTCTTTTCAGTATGAGGAAAAAAGATGTTTCCTTTGGCAATATTTTAGTGGCGTAATTAAACGTGTCCTGTGCTTAGCCTCTTTTATGAGAAAAGTAAGGATGAAGTTTGTTGCTTCAATTTTAAAGAAATTGTTAGATAACAAAGGTTTCTCAAAATACTATTTCAAGTTCTGTATCCACATGGTAACAAGCAAGAAGGCTAAGATCACTTGCTTTTCAGAGCAGAGGTCAGCCAGACAGGAATACCTTGAGCAGTTCTCAACATGATTTCAGTGCTGCCTGGGAGTAGAGGTTTTACAGAAAAACTCTTCTATGCCCAGCTCTTCTCATTCCTCAGAACCTGTATGTCTCTCTCGTTTTTAATTATGTAGAGATTGACAGTTAATTTGCTGTTGGGATTCAGAGCCCACCTGGACAGGTAGTTTATTCTGTCAGGTTCTTTCTGGAATGAAAGTAAAGTTAAAATATATCTTGAAAGGAATCTTCTTCAGGTAGAAAAGTGTCAGATGAAATAAAGTTAGATACAAACTTTTCTTATGATTGTATCTTACTAGTTCTGCTTCTAGTACAAACATACATATTTTTCAAATATTAGAGGAACTGTGTAACATTACAACAAACTAATGAAAATCCTGGATCTTTTGCAGCTTATTTAAAATGTCTGGTTATATGTACAAAAATACAGAATTTAATTATAGTTCTATGGATGTGAAGGAAAGTGATCCTTACTTAAATACAAATGAAAAGATGAAAGAAGTGAGAAAAGAAGGTTTATGGAGAAATAGTCGTCATACACCAATAACTAAAGACTCAGATTTTACTCTGCAAGGGGTAAATGATGGGGACATTACATCTAAAAATGGAATTGAAATGAAATCATTTGCTAATGCTTCAGAGATTCTGGATATGACAGGTAATTATTATTACTCTATTTCAAGAAAAACCAACTGCCTCTCTTTGCTATGTAATAATAGTGGATATCCATGATCTGAGGTAGAGTGAAGAACATTTTCCCACTAGCTCAAGGTGAGATAATTGGATAAACTTGATAAAAGATACTGCAATTCTATGTAACTTACTTGCATTGTTGTTCAATATGAACTGGGTAAAAAATTTATGAAGAAGAGTCACGTTTTCAAAAGTGCCAAGTCATGTAAACCTTTTTGAAAATGTCACTTCAAATCAGTCCCCTAAACAATTTGGAGAAGAGCAGCCTCATCCCTTCATATGGTAAATAGTCTTATCTTCATTTGAAACCAGAAATTGAAAACAGAATGTTTATTTGTGATGTGGCTCATACTTCTATCTTTGTAGAAATAGATTTTAAATAGGAAAAAATCTGGAAGATGGAGGAAAGTGGTGACAATTTTGATGACATGATAAAATACTTGTTTTAGAAAGAATTTTTGGTTTTCAATAGTTTTTAAATACATGTTAATTATTTCTAGGTTTTAAGCTTTTTGGGACAGGGACTCACTGCATCTGTGGAATGTACTTTGTGTACCTGGCTAACTGCTACAGAAATACGGAGTAGAAAAATAGTTCTAGCAGAAAATTGTAGGGCAGAGCTGTGGCTTAGGATGGGATTTGTAGGCTGGTCAGGAATGGAATTCTGTTTGCCTTCTGAACAACGGTGTCTCAATTCGTGGATGAGGGGAGGGCAGTGGATGTCATTTACTTCGACTTCAGCAAGGCTTTTCATGGAGTCATAGAGTGGTTGAGAAACACTGTCTTCCACAACATGCTTGTATCCAGGTTAGGACATTAGGAATGGATGGACAACTGCATGGGTAAAAAAAAAAAATGGTTGGATGGTCAGGCTCAGAGGGTGGTCATTAATGGGTCACGCTCTGCCCGCATGCCTACACAAGTGGAGGACTGCAGGGAGGAGGGGACTGCCAGTGCAGGAACAAATGCGAAGTCCTGCCCCAGGGAAGGAGAATAACCCCTGGAGCTCCCCTGGGATGGACTGACTGGGGGCAGCTCTGCAGAAAAGTGCCTGGGGTCTGGCAAACAGCTTGCTGAACGTGAGCAAGCAGTGTGTCCCAGCAGTAACGAAGGCCAACAGCATCCTGGGCTTTGTTAACAGTAACGAAGCCAGGAAGTTGAGGGAAGTGATTATCCCCTTCTTCTTGGCAATTTTTAGTCCATGTCTGGACACTGCATCAAGTTTTGAGCCTCTAGTACAGGCAATACATCCTTAAACTGGAGGAAGTTCAGCAACTGGCCACCAAGATGATCCTTTCAAATGATGAGCTTGTGACCTCCCTGTCCTATCCTGTCAGCTCCTTCTGTATCACCTGGACCTTGTTTTAGTCTTGCAGAACACACAGCTTGGGGTCAGGAAGGTATTTTTCATGGTTGAAAACAAACCTGGTTTTATAAATTTACTCCTTTTTATTTCTTTAGGAACTACAGGAAGGAAATTGGAAATTTTGAGGGCTGTCACAGAAATACGTATCCTTGTATTTGCTGTATCTGATTTACTGATTTTATTACAATGCTTGTACATTTACAAAATTATAGTGTTTAATTTGTAGCCATAGGTACTCATGCATTACACTGTAATAGTTTTGATTTGTAACATAATGCTGCGAATTAAATGATGGATAGAGGTTTACCCTTTGGAATTCCAAAGCTAGAATGAAAACAGGACAACTTAAGAATAAATTTGCTTGGCAATTATCTATATTTCAAACATTCAAATTTTATCCTCAAAATCGTTTATTTTTAAAATGTAGAATTTTTAGTTTGCATAGTATATATTTCAGGCCAGATTTTATATGCAACGACGCATATATCCCCATACCCTTTAAATAAAGGAAAAGTGAATTAGTATTTAAGCTTATTAGGAAAACTGAATCTTACTTTTTGTCCCATTTTATCAGGAGAAAATAAACTTCACATATTCCTTGTAGATCTGTATTTATGATGTAGTGTGCATGCAGTATATTTCCATTCTTTAAGCAGATTTTACAATAATTTTCCTTTTTCTTGCTCCTGCCTTGAACCCATAACATAATGAACCATCCATCTATATCTGTCAAGCTTTCTCTTTTTTTTCCCCCCTTTTTTTACACTGTCTTTTGAGTATTTTGTTTCTAGTAACCTGTCAAATCATAGAATCATACAATAGTTTGGGTTGGAAGGGACCTCTGGAGGTCATCCAGTCCAACCTCCCTACAATGAGCAGGGACATCTTCAACTAGACCAGGTTGCTCAGAGCCCCATCCAACCTGACCTCGAATGTTGCCAGGGATGGGGCATCTACCACCTCTCTGGGCAACCTGTGCCTGTGTTTCAGCACCCTCACTGTGAAAAATTTCTTCCTTATATCTAGTCGAAATCTACCCTCTTTTACTTTAAAACCATTACCCCTTGTCCTATTGCTACAGGCCCTGGTCTGCCCCATCTTTCTTATAAGCCCCTTTTAAGTACTGGAAGGCTGCAATAAGGTCTCCCTGGAGCCTTCTCCATGCTGAACAACCCCAACTCTCTCAGCCTGTCCCCATAGGAGAGGTGTTCCATCCCTCTGATCATTTTTGTGGCCCTCCTCTGGACCCACTCCAACAGGTCCATGTTAAGTGGTAGGTTAATATCAGGAAGAGGAAATGTCTAAATTTAGGCAAATTAATGTGAGTAGCTTTAAGAAGTGTCATAATTTCCAAAATTACTAAGGACTCAGCTGTTCTGAGTTGCCAATTACAGATAGTCAATGTTCTGCATTTTGAAAATAGTTGTTTAGGTAATTTTAGAGAAGACTTTTTTTAGGAAATCCTTATTTTCGTTAGTCTAATATTACTTGCTTATCTTTACCCATTCTTTAATGTTTATATTTAACTACTTTTATTTCTTGTTTTACTCTTTTTCTTTTCCTCTCTATTTAGTCTTTTAATGTAACATCAATCTGAGTCCTCAGCAGTTCATTGTTTGTGTTACTGTTGGTGTTATGTCTGACTGTGTGTGCATGCTCAGCCTGATCCGATGGTGACAGTTTGTGTGCTTGTGTGGCTTCAATGCAAGTCCAGACAAGGATCAACTCACTCATTTGGATTTGTAATGTAGCATTACTCTTTCCTCTTACTTGTATATTAGGTAAGAATGTTATTATCTGAAGAATATACAATATTAGCGATTGAAAATATCTTTAAAACCACTGTCAGAACTAAGGGATTAAGGTGAATTTCTTTGCTACTGTTATGACTGGGCTTACAATATTATGCTAATTAATTTGTGTTATATTACAAATATAATGTGACCATTGACACTTTAGATATGCTAACAGCAGTGCTTTGCTTGTGCTTGTATGTGGTTTGCAGTGTAGAATAAAGGTTTTGTCCCTTGCAGTTTCACATTCCTTAATTGTATACTATTCTGTGAAGCCTATGGTTCATAGGAGAAGGTTCTTGATTATTGGTATAATCCTGAAACCTCTCAGATAGTGGGGTGGTTTTTTTTGGTGAAGTGGAATATATGGCACACTAAGAATCTAAATAAAGCTACTAAATCATTTAATAGATTACTTTTTGATAATTTTTTTACAAGCCTGTGTGAGTGAAAGATTGTGGCATATGTGGTAAAACACCAGCACAGGTTGCCCAGAGAGGCAGTAGATGCCCCATCTGTGGAAACATTCAAGGTCAGGTTGGACGGGGCTCTGAGCAACCTGGGCAAGATGTCCCGGCTCACTGCTGGGGGATTTGACTAGGTGACCTTAACCTTCCAACCCAAAAATTCTATGATTCTATGTTTAAGTTTGCATTTAAATTACAAGAAAGGGATGCATTTACAGTTCTAAAAAAAAATTCTCATAATTTTCACTCAGTTGTTTTCAATTCCTTAATGCTGTCAAGCAACCCAATTTAGAAGTATTTTTAAGGAGTTCCCATATTTTAACTATGCACAGTCTAAAGCTTTGGATGATGTAAGTATGAAACATTAGCTGCAGCTGCAAGTAGTACTTTGTAGATTTGGGGTATTTTTCCTTACTTCCACATTTGTGCTTATTTTATGATGAGTTATACATCATATTGGCCTGTAAAATAATCTTGTGTGACTCTTTCTTCCTAGAATAATGGAAAACCACAGCTGTAAGCAAGACTTACTTTCATGAAAGTTGCAAAAAACAGAGTTCTCGGGGCAATAGTTGGCTCATGTATTGGTACTCCTAATTATAAACTTGTTTGTAAGGTACCCGGAAGGACAGGATTTGCTTAACATTCATGTATAAGACATGATATGTTGTTAAAAAATTAAGAGAAATCAGCATATTAAAAAGATAATGGTCTTGTTTGTTTGTTTTATTGGTTAAGCTGGCAAAATTCAACTTGGTAGCAACTCTCTGGTTCCAAGAAATGAGTTGTAAGCATTCAACTTGGTAGCATTTCTGTGGTTGATTCACAGTGAATGTTACAAAGGGTAATTTAACAAAAATCAGGGAAAATTTTGTATTCATACAGCATTCATACTTTACTGATCTTTGTGAACATTGGGAATGGTAGAGGAAAAACACAGGGAATTCCTGCAGCTGTTCAGCAGTACTGTCAGTGTCAGTCATTGCTACAGTTATTTATAAATGAAGTACTAGGTGATTCCCATTCATCCTTGTGAGCTTCTAACAGTCAGAGTAGTTTTAGAGCATTAACAGCTCTAAAGGAGTTGGAAGGAAGAAAAAGAAGGAAATCAAAAAAGAATGATAATAGTAGAATCCATGAGAAATTGGGAGGGAAGGAAGGAAGTGAAGCTGCACAGAGCGTGCTGCATGGAGGGAGGATGGGTGAGTGACACCGTGGAAGAGGAAGGAGGGTAGAGTCAACCTGGTGAGAGGAAAATGAGAGAACGTGACATGGACATATATGGCTTCTGAGATGGTGGAGGTTAGAAGGTGGGGGAAGGAAGGAAGGAAGGAAACATAATCACACAAAACCTACTTTCATCATTATTAAAAGCTTAACATGCTATTAAAATTATATATATTCAACAATGTTGGAATTCTGAATACAGATTGAATTACAGAAGGAAATAAAATTGCACTTTGAATTTGAGCACAAAAAACCTCTTTCTGACGAGCCTACTTTTTGTTGCAGTTGGATATTGGTAGTGATTCTCTATTAACGTCATCTAAGGCTAGATACTGGGTTTTTTGTTTGTAGCAGAATGGTAGACTTCATTACATAATAACCTTAGATGAACAGTATCTCCTTTACATTTCTGTGGCAGATGTGTAGCAGAAGATGTTCTTTCTTTTGCTGTAGCTTAAAGTTCACATCTAATACAAAAATTTTTCGAGGACTACATATATCAATGTAATAATATTTGTCTTGTGTCGTTTTCCCCTAGACAATGCTTTTGGAATGTATGAATAAGATTCTATGAATAGGTACAATGGATAGCTGTGTTATTTACTATTTTGCAATTCTTTCCTAGCTTCTTTATACAGATAGGAATTTTGTGATTTGTGCTCCAACTGGCTCTGGAAAAACTGTAATGTTTGAGTTAGCTATTACCAGATTACTCATGGAGGCCCCACTGCCTTGGTTAAATATTAAAGTTGTTTACAGTAAGTATTATGCAGCTTTAAACATTTTGGTGACAGCAGTAGGAAATGTCATTCTGCAAATGTGGAGATCTGGTGTGAGTGCTTTAATAACATTGAAATTAAATACGTTAAGTTATGACCTACCTCATTCTTTAAAAAGTTGTTTCTTTTAGGGTTTATTTGTTTGTGATATCACTGTAACTATTACTAGTACGTAACAACACTCTCTAGTGTTCAGCATTGCCTGTACAAATAAAAATGCAAATGTCTTGTAAAGAGTGTGTCCTCTAAGAAGGCAAGATGTACGCAAAAAGGGAAGAAGAAAGCAAAGGAAACTAAAACAAATTCTTAGTGGCAGAACCAGAAATCACACAGTATCTTTTGTATACCTTTCTTGCTCTGAGATGAGGGTTAAAGAAATTTTCCAATATTCCCTTACTTGGCAAGGTTTCATACTAACTGTTCCTTTCTGTCTACTAGTTCAGAGGCAACAGAGCTGTGATCTTCATGAGTTTAATTGATGTATATAGGAACTAATGAAAATACTTGAAGATAGTCACAACAATTACACTTTTTTTCTTTCATTCCTGGAGAATTGAGTTTATATCATGTAAATCAGATTAAATTGGTGGTTTGTCCCAGTTTTAATGGTTAATCTTTATCTTTACAAAAGTTTCAGCATAATTGTTTGGGTTTTTTCTAATTCCAATGTGTTCAAATTCTTACAATAAAGCTAATGTTGATTTAGAGTTTACTGTGTATTGTAAACAGATGTTTTATCAACAGGCATGTATTATAGTTTCTCTGTCAGCAAATCGAGGTGGAGCATTTCAGTGTACTGTAATGTTTTTGATTACCTTGATAGAATTGATACAAATTGGCTGGTTGGAACTTTCTGTAAGGAAGCAGTTAACCTGCTGGTGGAATTAGATCTGCTGAACTTTCTAGGTTTGACAGTGATGGAGAAAGAGACATGTCAGTTTTCCAAATGTTGGAACAGAGCTGTTAATCGGATTATGTACTGCTGGAGCATGCTCTGGTACCTGGTTCATCAGTGGCCCAATGTATGTGAATTAGCTTGCAGTTGTTGTGTAAATTAAGAGTTGTTTCCCAGTAGCTTTAACACATGCTAAGGATTGGTGACTGAAGTTCTGGGAGCAATCACTAGCTTCTTGCATTCTTGCACAGCAAAAGATTACTACTTTTGCAATTTTTTTAGTTACTTACTGATGGCTTAATCAGTTTGCTGGAGCTAGTGATTTCCCCTGCTTTATATGCCACTGGTACACTTAGGAGGTTTTATACCTCCTTCTGAAGCAGAAATTGCTTCTTTAAGTCCCTTCATCTTAGGGATCACTTGTCAGCTGATATGCAGAAATGGTTCATATTCCAGTGGCTCTAATTGGCCTAGAATGTAATCACTGCAAGATCCATTTTATTACTGCTGGTTTTGGATCAGGTGTAGATCACTTCTTTCACTTCAATCACTACATTTTCCGTATAGATTACCCATCCAATATAGACTTATGTGTGTTGCTAGTATCAGTCTTTGTAGATAATTACTTCTGATTTCTAGAAATGAGGTTCCATCTGCAAAAGTATACTATGTATCCTCAGGGGGAAAAAAAAGTGTTAATACATAGTTTTAGGAGACTGTTCACTAGGACTAGCATCAGAACTGCTACCTGCCATGTTAGCTGCTACCTGCTGTGTTAGCTGCTCAGTATGACTCTGACTACACTTAACTGTACATTTGGTTTAGATAGATTTTGATTTCTTCTGGTATTCTATCTGTTGCTCATGGATGGTTTCTTATTTATAATTCCTGTTCTCTCTGAATACAGAGTGCTCAAATCATTCTGAACTGGAAAAAGGCTGGTATTTGTATGATCTTCCATTAGAAAAGATGTATTTCCTGTGTTTTTTTCCATCTCTGAGAAAACCTTTGATATCTGAATGGTTGTTTCCATGTGGGATTGAGGAAAAAATCAGGATTAGAAGAGGGCATAAATAACCTTAATTAAAGGGTTCTGTTTCTGATTGTTGATAGAGAAGAATTGGGTCCTAAAGCTCAACATTGATCTGTGCACATGGAATAGGATAATAAGGATAATAATACCAGTTACAAATGTTATGGTTCTGGGAGCAAAGGAGAAAATTGGGGAAATTAAATTCAAGAATACATCTTAAAAATGTATGCACTTAGCATCTTTAGCTATACAGTTGAAGATTTGGTTTTCCTGATGTAAGTTTGATTATGTTGTGTTACTTTTAGTGGCTCCAATAAAAGCTCTATGCAGTCAACGTTTTGATGACTGGAAGGAAAAATTTGGACCTATAGGACTCAGCTGCAAGGAACTGACAGGAGATACAGTGATGGATGATTTATTTGAAATTCATCATGCTCACATTATTATCACTACACCTGTAGGTTTCAATCCCAATTCTTACAGAAACCTAGAATAAGCAGACATTGGTAGTCTACTAATTGTATGCTACTAGGACTGCTCCTTTTTTTGTAATAAGTAGTCATTTTATGATCCTTATGCTTGCCCTGCACACTGCTGTGCATACTATTAGTTCATGTAAACAACAGTTAGTAATATAATAATGTGCCAGATGAAACATACATGGCTTTAACTTGAATTAATATAACTGACTTTATTTAAAGATGTATTAAAAAGTTTAGGCATGCCTACCTGTCCTGTACTTCTGGCACATGTTGGCCTTTAAAACATCTTTCACCTTCAGTTGTTTCATTGTGTTGGTTTTTTCTTTTAGGAAAAATGGGATAGCATGACTAGAAGGTGGAGAGACAACTCTATAGTCCAGCTTGTACGACTGTTTCTCATTGATGAGGTAAGAAAATGAATGTTTTATATGCACTGTTTTTATTGTTGAAGATAAAAGGAAAACTAGAAAACGTTTATTTAACACATGTATAGATTGTAACTGGAGAAATATTTAGCAAATCTTTTAAAATTCCTAATAGGTGCATGTTATAAAGGATGAAAGCCGTGGTGCAACATTAGAAGTTGTAGTCAGTCGGATGAAGACAGTTCAGTCTTCTCTTTGGCGTCTTTCAGAGAATCATGACACTGTTCCTCCCTTGAGATTTGTAGCTGTTTCTGCAACAATCCCAAATGCTGAAGATGTAAGAGTTTCATTTTAACTGTATTTTAATTAATGTAGTTGTATTTTGTAACACTTACCCGGAGTTATAAATTCAGATTGATAACAAAGTTGTAATTTTGAAGCTGTCAGCTGAAGACAGCTGTGAGATGATGTTAATGTAATAAATTACCTAGAACCATATGGAACTATCGGCCAAATGTGGACATGTTTCAGTGTTAGATTTCTGTTTGTGATTTTCGTCTCTAAGTACGAATCACAACAGACTTGAGATTTCAGTCCGAATTATATCGGTCCTGTAGAAGGTAGAACTTCACCTGTTATTTTAATGATAATAGCAATGTCAAATGTGTTAATAGTTTACATGTGCCAAAAGTAGTGTGTAAATTAGGTAGACTAATTATTGTGTGATGTAGTTAGAGCAAAGTGTGATTAAAAGCAGAAATTTATCATTTCCATTCTATTTCTTCTTTTTTAAAGATTGCAGAATGGCTTTCAGATAGTAAAATGCCTGCTGTATGTATGAAAATAGATGAGGAACAACGACCAGTGAAGCTACGCAAAATTGTTCTTGGTTTTCCCTGCAGTGACAATCAGACAGAATTCAGATTTGATTTAACTCTTAACTACAAGATAGCTAGTATTATACAAACATACTCAGAACAAAAACCAGCACTTGTGGTACAACAGCTTTTTTTTTTTTCCCGTCACATTTGAAATTGTTCCATTCTTAAAAGTATTGGTTCAAAAAAATCTTTTCTTACTTATAGTTTTGTGCCACAAGAAAAGGAGTACAGCAGGCCGCTTCTGTTCTTGCAAAAGATGCTAAATTTCTACTGAGTATAGAACAGAAACAAAGGTATTTTTGTATTTGAGTTGTTAATAAGTGTTTGTGTGTTTTAGTAAACCTGTGACTTCTGTGAAGAAAGCTGTTGAGCTAATAAAATTTCTAGCAGAGGGGTGTCTGCAACAAAATCATCATCACAGTTGATATTGTTTTTGGTAAATTGGCACTCTTGGGAAGTTTTATTTGCTTCTCAGATGTTTAGGGTACTTTTCATGAACATTAAGTTGTTTCTAAAAGCTGCTTTCTGAACATACAGATGTTAATTCCTATGGACCTATAAGGCCCTGTAGTGCAAATATTAAGCGTACGAATAGTTGAATTGGGTGTGGTCTTACTAGTGTTTTAAGTTACACCATAAGAAGTCTTTGCATTATCAGAAACCTTTAACAAATACAGCCATGGCCCATATTAACTACTATTTACTTCAGGGTTGCCTAGTCATGGCAGCTGCAGAAGCAACTTCCTGAGTTTGGACCTCAAACATGGTCGTCTTTGCCTTATGTGAGCAACATGTCTAGATTGTGGGTTGTTACTTGGAAAGATGACAGGGCTGGAAAGGCTGCAACAGCTGCCTCAGAGAGTTGGTTTGTTCCCTTTGCAAACATGGGAAAGGTGATGGTTGAAAATACCCAAAGAATGTATATTTTAAAAGTTATTTTAAGACTATGTCCTTTTGATAGTCTAACATGTAGTTGAAAACTAAGAACATCCTTAAAAAGCACAAATGCAGTAGAACTATGGGGAAGTATTTAAAAAATGCACATGTCAAGGAATACATCTTACAATGTTTAGTGGGGTAATTGTGTATCTAGTTTCATGTGAAGCTTTATTTTTGCATTTTAAAAACATTCTTGTGTCTTTGTATATTCCACTTAAATTAGTGAATCTGTTTTGTGATTTTGAAGTATTTTTTTTTCTGTGTTGCATAGATTACAGAGGTCTGCAAATTCATTGAGAGATTCCAAACTGAGAGGTAAATATAGCCTACTACTCTTCTCAGTGACTGAATACTTGCTTGAGTCAAGTACTTAATGAAATAATTATCTATATTACTTGACTATCAGATCTTTTAATGTATGGTGTGGCTTATCATCATGCGGGTATGGAGATATCTGACAGAAAAATAATTGAAGGAGCTTTTGCCGTAGGAGACTTACCAGTACTTTGTAAGTAAATTTAACTTTGAAAGTCAAAATGTTAATGTATCCTGAGAAGACTGCAGTTTGGAAATGGTAATATTTTATGATTCTATAATTTGTTTAACCTTTGGAATTACTTTGTAAAATCCAGATAAAGATGTGTTTGTGTTTTTCATGCACTTTTACTCTGTGAGTATACATATGCACTGTTATTAAAGACCATAGAACTTTTCTTCATTTCAGCATACATGGATGTCATCCTCCCTCATATATCTATATAGATCTGGCCATGTCCATTTTGTTTTCATACCACTGAGCTATCCTGTTGAGGTGGAACTCTCTGCTAGTGTGTCTTTCCTCAGAGGTCACATGATGTTTTCTTTGTTTCTGTCCTTTGCAGCAGTGGCTTCCCTGAAGGTAATCTTTTACATTTATGCTTCTCAGATGGGCTACATACTATTTTCAAACTCCCATGCAAGGTGTTTTGACTGATGGGGAGGTTCCTAAGAAATATTCCATCTGCTGCTACCTGAAATGAGGAGGTATCTGTTTGAGATGTGGTGATCTCACCTCATCCAGGCTTTCTTTTTTCTGTGAAGAAGATTCAGACCCTATGGGGAATTGTGTGGTTCATGTACAACACTGAAAGATTCATGGATTTTTTTCTTCCCTGTACAATGGTCATGACTCACTATCAAAATTTAAGGCAGATACCCTTACTGTCATCTGGTGACCTTGCTGGAATTGCAGTGTCCGCAGTATTAAAAAGTCTCTGCATCCCTGCAATCTACTGTACTTTGGCTGCCTGGTGCACTATGTGTGGCGTTGCCAACTGTGGTGCCATTTCTAAAACCTCGGGAGACTGTGGTGCTGCTGTTGCTCTTTGCAAAAATAACTTTGAGATCCTGTGGCACAGCTGAGCACAATGTGAACATACATATGGACTACCACTGAAAGAATGCAAAGTTGCTTATTGGTACTTAAGTCCTTTGAAATTTATAGTTTGTATAAATATTTCAGAATAATCTAAGATACTAGAATTACATTTCTGCAATTGAGGGGAAGCTGGAAGAGTACGGGGCATATTCCACTTTATATGTTTGTGAGCGTGATGGAGGGTTGAGTTTTAACACACCTTTCACAGATATTGAAAAGAGGAAAAATTCTTTGGTCTTGAAATAGAGTGTGTGTATACTCACAGTGTGTGTGTGTATGTGTGTATATATACACACACATGGATGGAAGCTGTGATTGCACTGGTAAGTAACTTTTCTTTGCAACTCTTTTATGGTTAGGTGATTTTGTTTTGACAAATGTCCCATTTTGCATACCATTACAATATGAAAACCAGTAATATACTCACAAGATGGTGTGGTTGTGGCTTTAGTTTAGATTGGATTCTTCTTTCCTGATGCACCTATAATTACTAATTTTAGTTCTCATTTCATTTCAAAAAAGTATTGGAAAATTCATTAATACTTTGTTTTCCTAGAGGAATATTTTATCAGTGGTCCTGTATAGCTGGCTTTCCATGTTCAGTTCCTGCCACCCCATATATTCATTAGAGAAAGTGAATTCGAAAACATGAGTGTGAGATAATTTGCCACAAACTTGACTGGTGTTTTCCATGTGAGAGTGTGTATTGGTAAAGTATTGTGGTAGTATTGGTGGTGATTCTGGTTTGGAACTGTGGATATAAACAATGTTAATGACTGATGACTTAAAAAAAAAATATCTTGAAGATACTGATCACTACAGAGCACGATGAAGTCATGGTTGTGTTCAAGTATCTATCCATGAAGAAATATGAATAACATTTCTTCAGTGTGTATGTGTGTTGTATTGATGGATAGGATTCTGGATTATCTCCAAATGTTAAGGAATGTTTAAATAAAAATATCTGGGATGTAATTTGTTAAAGAATACTTGATAATAAATGAATGCTGATGATCAGATACACAGAAATTGTTATGCAAATACATGACTGTAATATACATCTAATTTTTTGTGGTGCAGAACACCCACTGACTTCACTAGAAAATAAGAGCTCTTGGGAATCAAGAGTTAGTCACTTATTTGCTGCTTGTTTAATGTCTGCCAGACATTTCAATGGTGTTCATCTTGCAATCAATATACTTTAATCTGATGTAGTTACTACTAGCACCTTAGCTATGGGAGTCAATCTACCTGCACATCTGGTGATTATAAAATCCACAATGCACTATGTTGGAGGAGTGTTCCAAGAGTACAGTGAAACTGATATTCTGCAAATGATTGGGAGAGCAGGAAGGCCTCAAGTAAGTTAATGCTATATTATATTGATGCTGTCTATAGGCAGATCAGTAGAAACTATTCTTGGCAAAGAAACTACAATGCCAACAATTTTACTGCGGCATTTGTTTTTTAAAGGGTTGTTATTAATAGTTAAATTACTCCTGGGTAACTTCTTGAGAAAGAAATTTGTTTGCTTTTGTATTGTCCACTAAAAAGTACTGCTTCACCTTGCTGTGGAACAAGATCTAAAGATTACATTTGTGTTATATAATGAATGAGGATTAGAGATAAAGTAGGAAGCTGGCACACAACTTATAAATTGTATGATAAAAATTCTGGAATATTGAATAGTATAGAGAGCAATGTGCTTTTGTTCTCAGAAGATCAGAACAAGAAAGCATCTAATTAAGTTAGAAGTGGAGTAGAGGGGGAGGGTCAGAAGCACTGCCTTCAAAAAGCTATAATTCATTTTGCTTCCAGAAGAGGTTGCTGATGCCAAGAATGCTATGTTTTAGAAACGGTTCAGACATTGCTTTTTTTGTAAAAAGGAGGTGGGGGGAGGGGATTAAAAATGGTTATTTTAATTATACCTCTTTAAAGTCTCTGAATTATTTATGTTAAATCTGACACTTTTAAGTCTTTTAATTTTTAGAAATGCAGATAAAGCCTTATACAGGAGATAGCTTACCCCACATCTGTCTCTAGAGGCTGCCTGTATTAGCCACTGTGGTATGTTGTGTACATGACAGTATTTTATTTGGACCTAAGATCTAAACTAGTATGGAAATTCCGATATTCCGAACTTTCTTAACTGAATGGGGTTTTTCTGCTAGAGATTGTAATTCAGTAAAATTTTTAAAGTTGTGTCTCAGATTCCTAAGCCACTTTAATTTAGTGAGTCAAGACCTCAAATATTTACAAAGATCTGCCTTTCGGTATTACATATACTAATCTGATCCAAAAAATGCAAAAGTCAGGAAACTTCATGTACAAAAAACAATAAATCAGTCTAACAGTATTTTTTCCATTACAAAACAAAATAATCAAAATGAGCTGGCTTGAGATTAGATGATGAAGGTTATAAAAAATTGCTACAAAAGGTTTGACTGCTCATTCAAGACTTTCTAATGTTTGGTGATTACTAATGAAAATTCATGTCAGTAAATTATTTTCCTTGGTTTTGGTTAGGAATCCTTTCCTTAGCTGTGGACCTTGTAAGGTCTTGTAACAGTTGGAACTTCTAACAGTTCACTTTTGTGGTGTTTCTCAACATGTCTCTGTTACAAGTACATTAGCACATATAGTCTGGTGTGCTGACCTGCCTGCCAGTGATGGCTGGAATCCCTAGTCCTGCTTGCTGCCCAAATGAGATAGAACTTGCCTTTAAGTTAGAGAGGCTTTGGCATTCAACAGGCATTTCAACAAGGATTTCAAGAAAACAGTTTTAATGGTTGCAACAGATACGTGATTTATATTCAACTGGAATTTTTTTGCCAAGAGCTAGAGAGCAGTGTTTGTTTGTGGTTTTGTTTTTCAGTTTGACACTACAGCTACAGCAGTTATTATGACTCGTTGGAGTACAAGGGAAAAGTATATACAGATGTTAAATGGTGCTGATATAATAGAAAGCAGGTAACCAAGTATTTTTTTCTAAGACTATATAGATGGTAGCAATGTTTCAGTTTCTACAGAATGTGTTTTTCCAGGTGGTTTTAGGGTGGTTTTTTGGTCTATTTAGAAGAAATTTCAGAAAGATTTAAGGAAAATCAAATAAAACCATACAGAAATTAGCAGCCTCTGTTTTATCAGCTAAAAGCATCTTTAGAACATCTTAAACTTACCAAAAAAACCCACAGTTGTAGA